GTTGTGCAGGGCTTTGTCCAGGTGGGTGTTCAAACCACCTGTCCGAGGAGGGTGGGGGGTAATCCGGGCTGCGGGGGAGGAGGGGGGATCGTGCCCCGTTCAGGTATGCTCTTGTTTCATCCTCTTAGTCCCTTCCCACCCTCGGCACGAAGAGGAATCAGCAGAGAACAACCTCAGGGACCAAAGGGAAGGGCACGAGAGGCCCCAGCTCGCGTGGGGTTCCCGGAGGGCGGTTCAGGACCCTGGAGAGCGGCCGGAGCGCCGCGGGACGGGACGGGACGGGGCCGCTCCGAGAGGCTCCTTCTCCCACCCACCAACACTCATGTCCTCCTCATTCCCAGGTTTCCCAGAGAAGCCGCGGCTGTCCCATCCCTGGATGTGTCCAAGGCCAGGTTGGATAAACTTGGAGCAACCTGTGCTCGTGGAAGGTGTCTCTCCCCGTGGCCAGGGGTTGGCACTGGGTGAGCTTTAAGGTCCCTCCCAACCCAACCCAGTCCATCATTCTGTGATTCTTCTTAATTTGGAGCTCCTCGAGGTTAATGGGAGAACCAGGAAAAGGGAACATTTCAGAGCAGGAAGAGGATTTGGCTGCGTTTCCTGCAGATCCAAGGAGAGCCCTGTCACCCTCCCAGCTCCCACTGCAGTTGCCAGCCCGGCCCATCCATGCCAGGACATTTCAGGAGGAATTCAGGATGCGGGCTGACAGCCCCACAGGATCACCCTTGCTGGGCCTTAGGATTCCTACTGTCTGTAGGAACCCATCGGTCCCCGTGCTGGAAAAATGGCCAAACCCCCCCTGCCAGGGAGGCAGAAAACAGCAGAAAACCTGCCAGGAATTCCAATGAACCTCCAGGTTCACCTTGCACCAAAAGCCTCTGGCTTCTGCTCCCTTTAACCAGCCATCTGTAAGGAGCAACGTTTGCTTCCAAAGGTGGGAAAGCAGCTTCTAGGACAGTGCCAGGGGTTTCTCAGTGTCACTCAGCACCGAGTCCTGGCTGTGCAAAGTACCCTCTTCCCTCTTCTGCCCAGCCTGGGGATGCAGCAGCCCCGTGTTTGGGCTCTGAGGAGCAGAGTGATGCCAGAGAAGGATTCCCAGACTCTGCTTTGGGAGGGGAAGGCTCCATTCCCTGTTCCCAAGGCCTTCGGTCCAGCCCTGCCTGCAGTCAGGACTGGGTGCTTTGCTCCCCTGTGCCCTTGGGCTGCTCCCTCCCTGCTGCATTCCCAGAGTGAGGAGAACAGGCCTGGATCTCAAACAGGATGGGATGGGATCCAAAGACTCTGGAGCGAGGGGAGCTAAAGGGACATGGCAAAGGCTTGTCCCTGTGTATCCTTGGGAACTTCTACCTGCTTTAGCCACACAACCCCATCTCTATTTGTTCAGTTGTTAATCCCTCTCCTCCTATCTCATTAACTGGGAATGGTGATCCCTATAAGCAGGGCTGAGGTCTAAATCCTGCTCTGTTTTAATCCATAATAACACAGCACTGTTTCTTTCGGGTCTGGATTAAAGAAAAAAGAAAGGGAGGGGGATTATTTAACATAACAGCAACTACAGGCAAGTTCACTCTGAGCTGGATCTCCAAAATTATGCAATAATTATCCTGGACAGCCAAGGTAGAAGAATGAAGGTATGACCTGTTCGAGCAGAGCAGGGGGGGAAAAGAGAAAAGATGGAGCAGAAGTCATCCAACAACATTTAAAATGAAGAGAATCCTTTTTGAAAGGAGTTACCCACAGGGCAGGGAGACAAGCTAGACCTCCCTGACAAGATTTGCAAGAGCCTTTCAGAAACTGTAAGTGAATACAAGCCGTGGTTGGAGCTGCCTGCTCGGTTTTAAGACACGAGGGGATATTTTGGTAAAGGGCAAATGAAATCCAAGGAACAAACCTCCACAAGGGAAGTACCAGAGGTTTCTTCCTTGGATTTTTACGAGTCTTCTCCAAGGTTCTTCTGTTATTCAAATTCAAGGAAAGTCTGGTTTTCTGTGTATTACTCAGAGCCATTCAATGCAAACAACCACAAATTAATCCTCACCATTCAGCTGCCACCTTCTTTCACCTGAACAAGGAGGCTGTGCAGCAACCAGGCGGTTCACAGCTCCCTCAAGTCCTGTAACACCACAAAGGAGGGAGCTCTGCCTCAGCTCTCAGGTTTATCTCCCCCTAAAAGTGAAGTGCTGGTGAGATCTGAGAGGCTGATGCTGCACAGACAGGTCAGGACACCCCTCCCCTGCTCCTGCAGGGACAGGAAATTCAGCAGCCCCTCCCAGATAAAATCAGAGCCTCACAAGTGTCCTGGGAATCCAGCTGTTCGGTTTTCCCAGACTTCTCCAGCAATCTCAAGTGCAAACCTTTCACCTCCCTGCCCCTCAGCTGAGCACGCCAAGGACAAGGTGGGGCCAACACTCCCTGAAATTCTGAGTTTTCTGCCCAGGTGAGCTCTTTGTAGAGACATCCATAAACTACCACAGTTCTGCTCAGTGGGGGTCAAACAGGTGACAGAAGAAGGAGAGGACTGGGGTCTGGCAAGGTCCTTGGGACCTGTGAACAATTCACCCAGCAAACCTTCCCCCAAGGTCACCCCAGGTCCTTCTCCCAGGGTCACCCAGCCAGGCCTGAAACAGCGTGTTGGAAGCGAGAATCACTGCAGCGGAAAGTGAAACTGCTTTAAACTCCATCCATCTCCCCTCTCCCATCAGCCTGAGCCAACAAAGGTCCCGTGTCCGTTCTCCCTTCCCTCGGGATCAGAGGAGACACCAACAGCCCCTGGGGCAGCACTCACAGCACCTCATTCCCGCTGTCACCCAGCCCCTGACGCACAGAACCGACACCTGGTGGTTCACACCTCATCTCAACACCTTCCCTGCTCACCCTGCACCAGCAGCTCCCCCGTGGGGCTCTGTGCCCTCCTTCAGGGGAGCCTCGTGTGAGCAGCCTCCTCCCAGCACCCCACACAGCCCAGGCAGCCAGGAAACCTCATTTCTTGCTGTTTTGATCGAAGGTATTTGCCCACCCTGGCTGCCTGAGCGCTGCAGGAAGCCTTTGTGGTGGCACTTTGCCAGCAGCAGCATCGATTTTACACACAAGACCCACTAAGACAATTAGATCACAGCAAGGCAAATAATTCATTGCGAATTAATACCTTTTGAGAGCTTGGGATATTTTCCATTTAATCATTAGCTGGGAGAAGAGCTGATTGGATTGGCTGTCTCGGTTTAAATCAGATCCCAAGCCACAGCCCAGGCAGCACAACTCAGGGAGAGGCCAAGGCCTGAGAGGCCGAGGATGAGGATGGAGCTTTGTTATCCCCAGGACCAACCCCATCACGCAGCTCAAGCAAGACAAAGCCAGTCCCCAGGTCTCAACCCCTGTAAACAAAAGTCTGTTTTCGAATTTAACAACTTGAGCCCATCCTCTGTCAGCTGAGCAGCCCTCCATGCATTATTTATGTCGGATTCCTGTTACAACCACACACACATACACATTAAAAAAAAAAAAAGGAGAGTCAGCAAGAGCCCAGCCTGGAGCTGGGGAAGGGAAAGGACAGAAATAGAACTGAAAAGGAGGATGCTGCATTTGAGGGGTTTTCTTTCAGGGTAGGCCAGGCAGAGAAGTTTTCCTGAAACAAAGCAGCCACGCTGCCCACCAGTGCCTGCCAAGGGTGGGTGTTTCACAGAACCTCGGGCAGGGAGAAAGGAATCAGCAGCTCTGGAAAAGTCACAGGATTTGTTGCCTTTGTGCTCGGCAGCTGAGAGGAGCACCCCGGAAACACCACAGCGCCACAGGATCCATCTTAAAGCAGCCAGGCTTGGCTTGGGCATGCCAGCATGCCAGTTTTACTGCAACACATCCCCCCTGCCCCCCTGCACTGCCTCCCTCCCAGGGAGCAGCCAGGAACATCCCTGCTCCACTTCCAGGAGTGCCCCCCAGCCCACACGCCGTTCCAAGGACCTGACCTTGAGAAACCATCTCAAAGGAAAAGGAAAAAGAAAAACCCGTCCAGGCAAGACGCAGGGTTTCAGCAGGGACAGGATTTTCTGGAGAAAAGCTCTTTTTTTCCACCCATAACCCTTCCCCTGCATCCCCCCCGAGGCCTCACTGGGGTGCAAGGAGCATCCTCCCTGCTCCCCGTCCTCCAAGGAGCAGCTGAGGCCACGGCAGAGGACACTGCCCCTCGCTCCAGCCCAGCATTCCCTCTCCCGGGCCCGCAGCATTCCCACCTCCGGCACGGCCTCGCACACGCAGTGGAGTTTCCTTCGCCCTCCGCAGCCCCTTCCCGAGCATCTGCCGGAGCTCGGGAGCAGCTGAGCCGCCCGGAGAGCCGGGAGCACAAATGATTCAGCATTTTCCCCCCCTCCAGGAGCTGCCGGATCGATCGCGGGGCTGCCGCAGGCACGGCCGGAGCATGCGGATCACAAACCTGGCCGGCACCGAGCGCTGCTCTCCGGCGGGGCCCGGCCCCATCCAGCGCCGCATCCCAGCCCAGGTGTCCTCCGAGAGGCCTCGCCTGATGGGTTTTGCCAGCCCGGGGTGTCTCGGCGGGGAGAACACGGATCCACCCCCGAACACGAGAGGGAAGCGCCGGGTGCGGGCTCCCCGCGGGACAAACCCCTCGTCTCCAGGAGCTTTCGGGCCCCAAACTTGCCGTGTCACACAAAAGGTCTGTCCCTGGGCTGCGCTTCCCCCCCGATCCCCCCGCGCTGCCACCCCGGGATTTTATCACACGTACAGACACGATGTCGTGACGTAAGCGCCAAAATCCCATCACATGCCCCCGGCCCGGTACCCACCTCCCCCTGCACGGGGTTCAGGCACCCAAAAATCGGCGGGGGTGGGGTGGGAAGGCTGGGGGGAAGTGTCACCCTGCAGGCAGCGTGATCCCAAATCGGCGGTGAGGATCCCCCCCAGCCCCCCGCCCAGCCGTGCCCCGAGGGCCGCGCGCCCCGAACATCCCCCGGGAGGCTCCCGCATCCCGCTGCCCACCCCTGGCACCCCCTTACCCGGTGGGGAACGGCGGCTCGGCCGCAGCCGGGGCTCGGTGCGGGGCTCGGTGCGGGGCTCGGTGAGCCGCACTGCGCGCTCCCGGGCGCGGCCGCGCCGCACTGCGCGCTCCCGGGCGGGTGGAGAGCGAGCGCGCTCCGGGAGGAGGAGGAGGAGGAGGCAGAGAGGGAGGGAGGGAGGAAGGCAGGGGGCCGAGGCAGGGGGAGGGGTTCATTAGCTCGCCCGTTAATTAGCATCCCCGCGCGCGCGGGGCCGCCCCGGCTCTGCCTCCCCGAAAAAAAACCCCGCGGGCGCCAAAGGCGCAACCCGGGCTGGGGATCCACCGGCTCGAGTTTTCGGGCAGGGAAGGGCAAGTCTTGTCCGAGCGCCGGCGTCACCCAGGGGAAGGGCTGCGGGGGGCTCAGCACCCTTCAGGGCCCCCCCCCAGCAGCGCCCTGAGGGGTAAATCCGCCCCTCCAGGGCGCTGGGGAGGAGCTGAAGTGCCACATCTTGGCTCTGGGTGCGGTGCCAGCTGGTGAGTGCCCCAAACCAGGCGCTGTCCCCCGCCGAGTGGCCCAGCGGAGGTGAACATCGCAGCCCAGACATCTCCTCAGCCTCTTGGTTATCAGGAGTGTCAGTTTAATTAAAACACTCACAGCGAGGTTTTGCTGCCTCTCCTTGCCCTGCGTTTTTCTTTTTTCTTCTTTTTTTTTTTTTTTTTTTTTTTTTTTTTTTTTTTTTTTTTTTTTTTTTTTTTTTTTTTTTTTTTTTTTTTTTGGGTTCCAAATGTTCTGCTGAGGCTGCAAAAACTCGAACTGAGAGAGGAGTTTTCTCTGCAAGCAACACACTGACCCTTTTTATATGTATTTCATTTGTCCTCTAAACTCCTTACACTGAACACGCCAGTGCAAATCACAGGGTTGGGAGGGACGTTAAAGATCACCCAGTGCCACCCCCTGCCATGGTTGCTCCAACCTGGCCTTGGACACTTCCAGGGGCAGCCACAGCTTCTCTGGGCACCTCCTCTTGCTCGGGGGCTCTGGGAAAGCAGCTTTGGGCTGCAGTTTTCCCACTGAGTGATGGTTGCAGTAACACAAACCAGACTCGGAGAGCAGGTGCTGCAGGGCAGCGATGGCCCAGCTGCTGCAAAAGAAGGAAGATAAATCAATTAGGAATAGCTGAGACAGTGCAGAGCCCAGCGCTGAGCAGAATTCCAGCCACCCCTTCCCTCCTGCCGGGGACTGGGGAAAACAGGGCACAGGGGGATCAGCAACAAAGTACAAGGAAACCTGGTGTTAAATGTGGGGACATCCTGATATCAGTGTCACCAAAGCACGGGCTCAACTCCTTATCCTGCAGCTGCTCAGCACCTTTGGAAACATTGAATTTCACCAAGCTTTGCCATTTCCACAGGGATCCTGTCCTACAGCTGGATTTAGGGCAGCAGTGGGGAAAGTCACTCAAGATCTCCCTCTCAAACAGTGCTGACTGCTCCTCTGAGATGCTGATTGCTGCTAATTCCAGAGGGATCCAAGGGCACGTTGCACTTCTCGAGCCGCTCAGAACCCTGCAAAATCCACTTTTCCCTGTTCCTCCTCTGCGTGGCCTTGGCTGCAAACAGCCTGCTGGGAAGGAACTGAAATATCCCCTCTGGCTTTGGGAAGTCTCAGCAGAGAACTCCACCTGGAGGAGGCCCCTGCCCTCCTGCCCCACACAAACACTGATTTACAGCACACAGTGCTCATCTTTGAGGCCGCTCCTGCAAGGGGATGGTGAGCAGAGGAAGAGCTCAGAGGCTGCTCAGGCCTGGGCACACGAGGAGGAGGACACTGAGATGGGTCTCCTGCCCACACCTCTGTGCAAGGATAACAAATCCAGGGCAAAGAGGGTCAAAATGATCAAGAGGAACAATTGCAAACCACTGGCAACTCGAGGGGAAGTGTTTAAATGCAATAGAAGCTGCACCCTCCACTTGCAAGATCCATCTGGGACGGGTGGCTGTAAAAACAGCAGGAATTTGGGTGCAGAGCTGGGTGTTTCCCAGCAAGGATGAGGCTGAACTAGGAGGACATCCCAGTGCAGGGCTTCCTGAGCCAGCCCCTCCTGCAGGCAGGGGAGGGGAGAGGAGGGGCTGACTCCTGACCCACGCTGGGGGCTCTGAGCCCTTCCCAGATCCACTCGGGGTACCTGTCCCCGCTCAGGGCCTCAGGGAGGGTTCCTTCCCCTCCTTCCCCCTGGAGATCCACTGCAATCCAATTAACACCTCTCCAGGGAATGGGCAAGGGGAAGGAGTGAGAGGAGCTCCTCTCCTCCCACCAAGCTCTTCGGGACAAATATCGATCGGCCCCAAAGCGTTCGCACTCGGAAAGATGGATTTGTGGGCGCCTTGCTGTGACACGAGGAGCCTTTCAGGAAAAAGCTGGTGATGGATGCACATCCCAGGCACTTTGTTTTAATGGAGCAGCAGCTTTTCCTGCCCCCGGGGCATAAATCACCGGGCTGTTGGAGCCACTCTGTGCTTCCCTGGTTTGGGACACGAAGCCCTTCCCGTCCGTGCTCGCAGGAGCTCTGGCAGAGGTGTTTTGCCTCACTGATGCACCCGCAGGTTTGTTCAGCATTAATGCAGAGGATTTAAAACCCGGACTGGCATTTAAATACACTCCCCCTGCCTTTGCTATTCCACGGCACAGACCTCAATTCCTTTGGAGGGTTAGAAGGAGTGCAGTTCACTCCATCCCACTCCAGAGGCCCCAGAACCCACAGAACCAGAGCTCTGGAGTGGCAGAAAGATGCAAAGCCCACCTCCCAGAGCCGAGGCCCCTGGAATGTCGGGTTTGGAGGGGCTGCCCAGCCCGGCACACGCCGTTCCCGATCCGGGGCTGCCACCTGCTGCCACAGCGAAACGCTCCTCTCCTGCTCGGGGGGGGGGATTGGTTTTAACCCTCGGGAAACCCTCCCCGCAGAGCACGAGCTGTGGTCCCGCCGTCAGGAGTCTGTGGGGAATCTCCCCTGGAGTTTGGGAGTATCAGTGGGCTGGGAAAAGCTGTGGCGGGTTCGCAGCGATTAAAGGATTGGTGATTAAAGGATCTGCATCGAGTTAAGGACCCTCAGCCACGACCCCACACCCCAGTGATGCTCCAGAGCTCTGTTGTTACGATCCTGTGGAGCATTTCAGAGCATCACCCTCCTTGGGTTTGTTTTCTGTGATGTGCCTGGAGCGCTCTGGGAGGGACCTGTGCCTGGGGAGGCTCCAGAACTGGAGCAGTGCCAGTCCCCAAGGACTCATAAAGTGTCTCTTGGGCATGGACTGTGAGTTCTCTGAACCCCAGCTCCAGCTCCAGCCTTCATTCCAGGAAAGGTTTCCTTCAGCTTTTAGATGCAGAAAAAAGACCTTTGTTTGTCCATTCATGACAGTCCTGGCTGCACCCACCCCCAAGCTAGAGGTGGGTGAAACCCTGAGGTGTGGTGGCATCAGTGGGGCCACAACAAAAACACTGGCACTGCTCTTCCAAACCTGCACAGACACCCCCTGAGCACCCCCTGAGACACCAACTGGACACCCCCTGAGAAGGTTTTGCAAAGCAACATCCCAAAGCAGTTTTTTTCCCCTAGAACCGCCTCCAACAACCCCCTCCCTCCCCGGGTCAGACCCCTCTGCACAGTTTGCAGCCCCCACTCACAGCTCTGGGCCAGGGAACCGTCGGGTGGGATTCGGGCTGGGGGGACCCTGATTTGGGGGCTGGGGGTGCTCCAGCCCAGAGAAGATCTCCCCAGCCTGGCACAGCCCAGGGCAGAGCCCGCTGTGGGCGATGACAGGCTGGCAGCACCCGGGGCACCGCACAGCTCCAGGCGTTCCCGGGGACTCCGCTGTCTGACACGGGTGTTCCATGAAATATTCAGCAGCTCAACGTGAACAAAGCTTTGCTCTGATACTGCTCTTCCCAGAACAGGTTTCGTGATCACAGATGCAGGAGCCCAGGCAGCTCTGCCCAGCATTTCCCCCTCCCTTTCCCCAGGGATCGTCACCTTTCCGGCCGGGCAGGATTGCATCGCGCCCCTGTGCTCGCCCTCTCCAGCCTCCTGATTTCCATGAGGGGATGGGTAGGAGATGAAAACAAAGATATTTCCATGGAAAAGCCGAATTGGGCCATTCCCTCCTCAGCATCCCAAGGAGGGGCTGAGAGGAAGTGAAGGAGAGCAGGGAAAAAGAAGAAAATAAAGCTCTTTACCTCCTCCCTGCACTTCTCCAGCTCTCTCGTCACGCTCTGCAAACACTTCTAGTGACTCGAGGGGCACCAAGTGCCTCCATTTACTCATTTGCTGCCAGGGGATTAGGGGTTTGCTCAGCTGGAAAAGACCAAGCCAGCCTGGCTGTGCTTGTGCCACCTCCATTTCCGAATCATTCCGTGATTTCTGAAGTGATCCAGCTGCTCGCTGTGCGAGAAATCCTTTATATCGCCCCTCCCAAAACCTCCCCAAACCCAGCACCCTCCAGATGGCAAATTTAAAAGGTTTTATCTCCTAAGGCACTTTTCTGCATCATGTGCATTATCCAACTTCTCTGCTGCTGCAGGTGAAGGATTATGTACATTGTTTTGGGGAGCAATTGTTAGTACGGAGCACAGGTACCCAGATACTTCCTAGTCCCTGCAGAAATCAGGCTTGACCTGGGAAAACAGCCTGGGAAAACCTGCTTGGGGTGGCCTGTCTCCAGCCTGGAGTGAATCCCAGGAACCTGCTTCGACTGCTGCACCACTAGATTGCAGCACAACACCAATTTCTGCACAGTTTCAGCGCTGGGCTGGGCTGCAGAGAGGAGCAAACTGGGACCTCTTGGAAGCAAAACTCGAGGTGAGAAATTGTGCAGAAAGAAAGACTCAGCAAAGGACATCCATCCCCTGCCTTCGGGGTGTATCCAACCCCCAGGAACATCCCGGGGGGAAATTCTGGGAGCCCCCCGTGAAACCGGATCAGGGCTCGGCACAAACGTTTGGCCAAAGCTGGCCGTGAATCCTAAAGGGAGAAGGTGGCCCAGGAAAAAGCAGTGAGCTGGCAGTGAGCCCCCGGAGGCTGCAGGGACTGGCCAGCTGTCACTAG